TGCTGCCCCCATAGGGGAAGATGAAGGTGGGACACACCTGCAGTACCATGCCAGGCTGCTCTGTAACCCACACATCTTCTGGGTGTGGTGTTCTGTCCCATCTAGTGGCACCAAGACCACTTAAAGAGAGAGAGAGCTAAATGAGTCTGCTTTACAGCCAGTTAGCTTTTAGTTCATGCGGTAGAGGCTCCTGCACTAATCTCCAAAGGTCCCAACTTTGATCCCACCCGCCGACGTCTGGGGTCTGTCAGCATTACACCTGCAAGGGTAGTGATCAACGACTCAGTGTCTAGTTGGCAGCCGGTATCAAGCGGAGTGCCCCAGAAGTCAGTCCTAGGGCTGGTTTTGTTCAACATTTTCATTAATGACAGGTTTCAGAGTAACAGCCGTGTTAGTCTGTATTCGCAAAAAGAAAAGGAGTACTTGTGGCACCTTAGAGACTAACCAATTTATTTGAGCATGAGCTTTCGTGAGCTACAGCTCTCTTCATCGGATGCATACCGTGGAAACTACAGCAGACTTTATATATACACAGAGAATATGAAACAATACCTCCTCCCACCCCACTGTCCTGCTGGTAATAGCTTATCTAAAGTGATCATCAGGTGGGCCATTTACCTGGATTTGTGCTGGAAATGGCCCACCTGATGATCACTTTAGATAAGCTATTACCAGCAGGACAGTGGGGTGGGAGGAGGTATTGTTTCATATTCTCTGTGTATATATAAAGTCTGCTGTAGTTTCCACGGTATGCATCCGATGAAGAGAGCTGTAGCTCACGAAAGCTCATGCTCAAATAAATTGGTTAGTCTCTAAGGTGCCACAAGTACTCCTTTTCTATTTTCATTAATGATCTGGATGATGGGATGGATTGCACCCTTAGTAAGTTCGCAAATGATACTAAGCTGGGGGGAGAGGTAGATACCCTGGAGGGTAGGGATAGGGTCCAGAGTGACCTAGACAAATTGGAGGATTGGGCTAAAAGAAATCTGATGAGGTTTGACAAGTGCAGAGCACTTAGGATGGAAGAATCCCATGCACCGCTATAGGCTGGGGACCGACTGGCTAAGCGGCAGTTTTGCAGAAAAGGACCTGGGGATTACAGTGGACAAGAAGCTGGATATGAGTCAGCAGTGTGCCCTCATTGCCAAGAAGGCTAACGGCCTATTGGGCCGCATTAGTAGGAGCCTTGCCAGCAGATCGAGGGAAGTGATTATTCCCCTCTATTCGGCACTGGTGAGGCCACATCTGGAGTATTGCGTGCAGTTTTGGGGAACTACAGAAGGGATGTGGACAAATCGGAGAGAGTCCAGCGGAGGGCAACGGAAATGATTAGGGGGCTGGGGCACATGGCTTTCCAGGAGAGACTGAGGGAACTGGGCTTGTTTAGGCAATGTCTACACTGCCACTTTCAGCGCTAAAACTATCGTTGGTGAGGGGTGTGAATAAACCACCCCCCCGAGCGACAAAATGTTGGCACTGAAAAGCCCCAGTATAGACAGCGCTTTAGTGAGGGGAGCCGCGCTGCTGGCGATAAAGCTACCACCCCTCGTTTGGGATGGTTATTTTTGATCGCTGGGAGAGCTGTCCCCTGGCGATAAAGTGTAACTACACTGCCCACCTCACAGTGCTGCTGCGGCCGCAGAACAAGGAGCAATGGTCTGAGGTTGCAGTGGGGGAGGTCTAGGTTGGATATTAGGAAACACTATTTCACAAGGAGGGTGGTGAAGCACTGGAATGCGTTACCTAGGGAGGTGGTGGAATCTCTATCCTTAGAGGTTTTTAAGGCCCGCTTGACAAAGCTCTGGCTGGGATGATTTAGTTGGGATTGGTCCTGCTTTGAGCAGGGGGTTGGACTAGAACCTCCTGAGGTCTCTTCCAACCCTAATCTTCTATGATTTACATGTATGTAACCCAGAGTCAGTCTGCCCCTCAAGGCCCAGTCCTGCATGGTGCTAAGAGCTCTTGACTCACAGGGGATCAGGGCCCCCCGTGCCCTGCAGAATCAACCCCTAAGTGACAGCTGAGGAGTGTGTCTGTTGTTGGCTCAGGGTAGAGGCTGGCAGGGATGCAGTCCTGTTCCCAAGGGAGGTAGTGGAAGCTTGTCACTGACTTTGGGGGGAGAGATGGGGCCCTTGATGTGGAAAAAGCAATGTAACGACAGCATTGTCCTACAAGTAGACGTGCTAGGTGACGTGGAGGCAGGGGTGGTGAACAGGACAAGGCATCCCTTGTGGAATAAAAGAGCCGATCTCAGAACCAGCCCTTCTTACCCTGCACTCCTTGCAATGAGATGCTCTGACAGAAAAGAATCATAGAATCATAGAATCATAGAATATAAGGGTTGGAAGGGACCCCAGAAGGTCATCTAGTCCAACCCCCTGCTCGAAGCACCCTGTCTCCATGCTCGGCTTTGAGCCTTCCACTGTGAGATGCCGAGGCTTCACAGAACACACTGAATGGGGATCCAGTCTCTTTACCGTTCCAGTGGATTCACCAGAGGCTCCAGGAGCAGGATTGGTACTTGAAAAGAGGCAGCTTACAGGTGCCAGGAGCTGGTGCTCCTGCATCTCAGATCACAAGTCTTCCCCAACCAGTGCTCTTGCACTAATCCCCACAGCAATGCCTGCTGGGAGAGGCTGGGACTAGATTAGCTATGGTTGGCTGCTCCTGCCCATTTGCAACATTTGGTCTTGAAAACTCAGCACAGGTTAAATTGCAGCAGGGCAGGTCTGTGTCTATGTACTTTGCTCTTTCTAATGTGGGCGTGGTATAAGAGGCTCTTTGAATGCATAGGAAAGAAGCGAACGGGTGTTCATAGCGTGAGCTGGGAGGGCCAGCGGAAGCAGAAGGGGGCTGATAGTTTTTTGTGTGTCCATCTCCCATGCACTCTCTGAGGTGGGGGCATATTTCAGATCCTTTTGGAACCCCTCCCACTCCTTCCAGGGCGCTATTCTCCGAGGCAGCAATCTCCTCGCTCTTATTCCCATGAGGATTGATACAGTGTCATTTAGGGGCCTGGGAACTTCACAGGCAAATAAGGAAGGGGGTCGGTTTCGGCCAAAGTGGGAGTAACTCCACTGAACCAGAGCTGGATGGGGCCCCAGTACCTTGCCTTGCTCATGAGGAATTAGTATTTGTCCAGAGAACTAGAGCCATTTGTTTTTTCTAGTGCTCCTGGCCAAGCTGGAGCCCTGTAGGTGACGATCCCAGGAGAGGGAGGCCTGGGGCTGATGGAGGGGATGGAGTTTGGGGAAGTAGGATAGTCTGTTTAGCCTGTAAGCCCTTTGGGGCAGGGACTGTCTCTCAGTGAGCGTCTGTACAGTGCTTCCTACCATGCTTGAGGCCTCTGGATTATACCTCACTACAGACAGGGCATAATAATGAGGGGGCAAGCACAGTCCTGGGGGGAGGTGACAGAGAGCTGGCTAGATGGGGTATGAGGGGAGGAGGGTAGGGTTTGCTGCAGTGGGGCAGTGAGGTTTCTCCTTAGAGAAGCTGGGGTTTGGGAGCCTAGACTCAGGCTGAGCATGTTGCTCCTTGCCTTGGTCTCAGGCTGTGCCTGTGCACTGGGGTGCTTAGAACGCCACCCCATATTGTGGGGATCTAGCTGCAAAGGCTCTTCATAAAACACCAGGGGCGTGCGGGCCAGGGGAGCCTTAGCCTTCGCGATGGAGAACCGAGGAGCTGCTGTGTCAACCAGCCATCCTGGGAAGAGAAGCTCTCCTGCTTCCCATCATTTCTTGCTGCTTCGGCAAAGCAGGAGGTGGTGAAGAAAGCACTCCGATTCCAAGAGCAAGAACTAAAGCTATGGGGCTAGGCACCAGCTGGGAGGCAAAGGGAAGTGTCAGAAGATGACTGGTCCCTTTAAGGGGTGATGGGCCCTGCCCCACCTGTGGCTCAGTTGGCTCTCCTCCCCAGGTGGGGAAAATCAGTGCTCCATAGCAATAGGTGGCTAAATCAGCCCTGCCTGGGAGATTAAAGAGAAGCCTCCTGGGAGACAGAGGAGGAGAGAGAGTGGGGCAGACAGCTTGCAAGGGGGAAAGACAGAGTTAACAGGGGCTCGCCCAGAATAGATGAGTGATGATTATAGCTAGCCTAAATTCCCCCTCCCCGCCCCTAGAAGGAGGGCTCTGGGAAACCAGCGTTGGACTTGAGAGGCTAATGTCTAATTGATATGCTGTAAGAGACTTAACCAATGAAACTCTCACAGGGGGAGTCTCCATTTAAACTATTCTGCTTGGGAGGGGTGTCTGGGGGGAGGGATAGCTCAGTGGTTTGAGCATTGGCTTGCTAAACCCAGGGTTGTGAGTTCAATCTTTGAGGGGGCCATTCAGGGATCTGGGGCAAAAATTGGGGATTAGTCCTGCTTTGAGCAGGGGGTTGGACTAGATGACCCCCTGAGATCCCTTCCAACCCTGAGATTCTATGATATTCTAAGAGCTAGCCAGGGCAGTAGAGGGCAGCGCACCGGCCAGGCCAAGCCATGCCACAAGGGGTATCCGGAGGAGTGGTTGTCTGTCACAGGTGGCAATGTTTCCCATTGGACTGGCAGCTCACAGCCCCTCAGGGTAGGTAAACCAGACCCGTGTCCCTTCATCCTCCCCAGGTGTCAGCAAACACACTAGATGCCTGTTCAGTAACGCCAAGTGCCTGTACAGGCCTGTTGGAAGGGTGGACTGGGGGTGAGGGCAGCCCGAGATGCAGCGAGGGGCTGGGGACCCAATGTAGGACAGAGGTTATAACAGAACGAATTTGCTCCCTTAAGAAATGGTGAGAGTTCTGGGGGTGAGAGGAGGAGGAGACAGACCCCTGCGCATGTGGGTCCAGGGTGTGTCTGAGAGAGAGGGGTGAAGACCACCCTTCCTTGTGTGGGGTGGAGGGGGTGTTGGGAATGTGAGGGGGCAGAGAGGGCCCTGGGGTGATCAGTGCAGCTACACCTCCCATGCTGGGTTTGCTTTATGACCCCTCTGACTCTTGTTTTCCGTTCTCCTCCCCAGCTCGAGGACAGCAGCTTGCCCTGTTGTAGCAGCCAGTGCCTCGCTCGCCGCCCACCCCGGGGACCCCACACGGTGACCATGTGGACATGCACAACCTGCAGGCTGTGAACGAGAGCAGGACCCTGGTGTGAGGTAGGCACCCCCTGCAGAGTCCCTCAGGCTGTGAGCGATTCCTGTTAGTTGGGGCATGGCATCCACGGCCAGCTGGGGAGTGTGATCCCCAGCACAGCAGCACAAACCGAACCAGACACACGGTGCCATTGACCCAGGTGTTTCCAGCACCTGGATGGCTTCTCTGTGGGGAAGAGGGTTAAAGTGATTGCTGGTTATTCTCCCTTCCCCCACGACTGGAAATGCAACCCCCACATGCCATCCTCCTGCTATCTCTTGCCTGTAGCATAGCAAGGAGTTTTGAGGGACTGAGCCGGAGCACAGCCCGACCAGCACCCTCAGGGCATTGCTTAGGAAACCGGCAGGCAAAAGCATTGGGTTCAAATGTCAGGAGATGCCAACTGAAGTGCTGCTCTGAAGATGATGGGCCTATATAAATAGCTGCTGCATTGGTGGGGGAGTCTGGATCAGGAAAGGAGGAGTATGCATGGGTCAAAGAGGAGAGAGCCGATGGGTCTTCTAATGAGCTCATCATTGGGGTGTCCGTGTGCTAGATCTACATCTGAAGGGATCTGCTGTGGGATGTGTGAAGCCAGGAAGGCTGCAGTAATCCTTCAAGTTGGGGCCTGTCTCTGCTCCGCATGCAGTGGCTAGGCTGCCCACACCAAGACAGCCCCCGGCAGGGTATATGGCTTGGCTGCATGAACCAGCTGGCTTGGCTGCATGAACCAGATGGCTTGCTGGCCGTGGTGGGACGAGGCCTAGAGAGTAGCGCCGCGAAGGGTGTGGTGAGCAAGAGGGGGTTGTGCTGGTGAGGGCTCTGTGTTCCTGGTGGCTGTGCCGTGGGGGGCGGGGGTGGCCATCCATTTCCTGGTGGAGCAGAGCACCGGGAGCAGCGGGGTCTGTGCTCAGCATGTGGTAGCATGGCCCCGTTTCTGCTGGGCACCCGGCTCTCCTGCTCCCGCCGTGCAAGGTGGAAGCCAGGGGCCCAGAGTTCAAATTCTAAACCTTTGCGCACGCTGTTGGCTGGATACCAAGGTGCCTGTCTCCCTTCCCCTCCGCCCCCCCCCCCGGGATACCAGTGGCCTGCCAAGGAGCTGTGTGAAATCCCAGCCAGGCCATCTCTTCCCCGAGGGGAAAAGCAGGATGCTTTGGCTTCTCTAGCTGCACAGACTGCTCTGTGCTGGGCAGGTGGGTCCAGGGTTCCTGAGCACTCTGCCCCTCCCATGTTGCTAAATGGGGTGAGGCCTCTGGTGATGTGGAGGAGGGCCCTGGTATGCAGTGGTTATGAACCACTGTGGTGCCACCATCTGCCAGTTGAGTTGCACCCTCAGATGACCAAACAGAGCCGTGTGCTTTAGACGTGTATCTGGGGGACTGAGATGGTGTCTGGGTGTGGGAAATGGTTGGTCACAGCAGCCTCCAGCAGGGACATTACAAAAAGCCCCGTGAGCCCGTCTTTCGAATGTTGCAGCCCACTCAGCCTTGTTGCTTGCGTTTTCCTCCGTTTCCCAAGGATCAATGCGATCGCTCCTATAATGTAGAACAAAGCCTGGGGAACTGTACGAGGAAGCCCACTAACAACGTATTCTGTCCCGGAGCCTGTGAGATCCATACAGAGGCGCGGTGATGATGGGATCTACATGATGGGATCAATAGGCCTTACAGTGCCTGATAAGGAGCATTCATTAGTCGTGCTTTTCCAAGGGCTAGCGAAGGAAATAAAGAGGAGGAAAAATGACATCTACAAAACAGACTCAAAGCCTCCAAATTAACCTCCTGCCATGTGGCAAAACCAGCTCCAGGCAACCCCAAGTATTCCAGGACTCCAAAAATCATGAGTGCCTCAAAAATAATGAAATTAAAAAAAAAAAAATATATGGTGGGTTTTTTGTTTGCCTACATCGTTGCTGTGCCTTCAGGGTGGACGTGAATCACATTTTCAGGTTTTTCTCTGCAAACACGTGGACTAGTGTTATGAATTATACCTCATAGGACACGCACACCAATGCTGCGAATTATACCTGATAGGACACGCACAGTTCGAATCTAGGCTGAGGCACAGAAACAAAGTCCACAACTGCAGAGTTCCCAAAAGACACTAAGTTTATTATGCTCGAGCATGGTGCCCCCCTGCTAGCCGGGGGGGGGGGGGACCCTGAATACAGATTATACAAAGGTTATATACTTTTTAGCAAAGCATGTTGCCCTCAGGCATCGGAAACCTTAGCCAATAAACAAACCCTTGTCTTATCTACCATCTATCCCTGCTTGGTGCATTCCTCGTGCTATATCAGTATGTTAATTACACAGCATGGTCCTAAAGCCATGCATCAGTAACTTTTATTATCGGAATGGGAGGCCTCACATCAAGGCCAAGAGACAGGGAGTTAGAGACTAACAAAAACCAGATACTGGGAGTGAAGGCAGGCTGGAGACAAGGAGGAGGATTTTCACAGGGATTCAGTATCTAAGGATCACTCCTCCTGGTGTATGATGTGCTGGCATTTAAACAATGGTGGGCCCCAAACCAAAATGGAGTCACATGTGCTAACTTTTCCTTAACACTAGAAACTTACTCTTTTTAATAAAAGCTGAGATTCTCATCTCTGGGGGCTTGGGTTTTAAGATGAGCAGTAAAAATGGCAAGACTTGTGCTAACATCGCGAGAGTTGGCAGCGCTGAACAAGACGCTGCCTTGTATGCAGGTGAGATGCCCAATTACTTCATCCCAGAAAGCGGAGAACAATTTAGATCTGCATCCTTGACAGCAAATTGCTTCTTCAGCAGTTATAACCTCTCATCACATTTTCCTGAGCTATCACTGCAGGAGAATCTATGGCATTTTGCACAGAATTACTTTTTTTTGCCCACCGCCTGTGCCAGTAAAAGGACTTATTTGTAGTCCCACAGTGTCATTTAAGATGATTAACAGGGTGTGTGTGTGTCTTTTATAGCAAGTGTAGTGTTAATGTATTGGATGGTTCCTTTTTCTTTTTTTGCCTGCCAACTGTGACATTGAAATTGTGGGAAGGTCCTTCGGAAAGATTCTTTTATGTGGCTGAGGGAAATGGGTTCCAAAGAAGCAGGGAGTATTGGGTGTCTGTGACTAAGGAACTGGGCCTAAGCACCATCACAAACCTTGCCATCTTCTGCTCCGAGGTCCAGGCCTGCTTCTTGGACCCATGCTCTCTGCTATAAATCCAGAGTGATGTGGACCGAAACCCCAAAACACCCTGCCAAACCAGTCCTCCAGTGGGGAGCGGACGTGAAAGAATGAACCACCTGTGACTGACATTAGTCCCATTGCTTAATGCACTGCTTGAAGGCTCTCAGATAGGGTGGTGTTCAAGGTGGATAAGAACCTGTGTAGAATGGTAGCAGTCTAATTGTGCCATCAGCAACAGAATGGATGAGACCAAATTCAGAGTGTGACTGGGAGAACTCCTAAAGTCTTGTCTGTCCCCAAGTCTTGCTTGAGCCTGCTTCCTGTTCGATACTGTGTGGTCCCTGATGGTGCTGTGCCACATTTGTCATGCTTTCCATAGCCCAAGAGCAAAAGCTGTCTCTTCAGTTGAAAATGACTTTTATTTTAAACAAAGGGAAATCCACAAGAAAGAACAAAAGCTAAGTCTCCATAAGAGAGAACGCAGTGTGCTGCTCTCCTCTGGAACAGGCTGCAAAAGCAGTGAGAAAGTGGTAGCAGGGCAGAGAAATGTAAAGCACAATGGGGTGGGGAACACTGCTGCCTGTTGCAGATCTGGAACAAGAGGGCGGGCGGGAGGGGGGCGGGAATGTTACCTGGGAACGTCCATTAGCTGACTGAGAGACTGCAGGGTAGTTTGTGGATGTTTGTCACAGTACAGGGGCTTGAGCATGGGTCTGAGGACAGAAGTGAGGGAAAGAAAATATGAGGGGGTAGGGTTAAGTGGAGGACACACCAGATTTTCCTCCCAGGGTTTTTAATTCTACCCAATGGGTTGGAATTCATAGAATCATAGAAAATCAGGGTAGGAAGTGACCTCAGGAGGTCATCTAGTCCAACCCCCTGCTCGAGCAGGACCAATCCCCAATGAAATCATCCTAGCCAGGGCTTTGTCAAGCCTGACCTTAAAAACCTCTAAGGAAGGAGATTCCACCACCTCCCTAAGTAACGCATTCCCGTCCTTCACCACCCTCCTAGTGAAAAAGTTTTTCCTACTGACTCCTTTGCTCCTGCTGGTACCTTTCAGATGGGAACAAAATGCAGGTACTATGGGACAGGGAGGATCTTCACAAGCTACCCTAGTTACCAACCTCAGCATGCAGTGTAATGGTTGGAGAGTGGAGAGCACGGGCCCTGCAGGAGGCTGGGTGACTCGCAGCCACGCGTCTGCTTGCGGGTAGTCTCCGTCTTCTCCCCCTCCCCCCTGTAATCACACATACGTCTCTTCCCCTTAATTGCAGTTGCTTGATTTGTCTCTGGCTTTTTTTTTTTATTTAGTTGACAAATATTTGGTTCAAAGCGTTTTAATTATCCTCTTGGGATGTGTTTCATTTATTCATTAACGCAGAAATTGGAGCTGTCGCTTTCACTTTATTTTACTATATTTTTCCCCTTTTAAAAAAAACTTCAGCAAATAAATCTGTTTGACCAGCCCCTCTTTCTCCCCCCCCCCCCCACAAGCCCCTCACTCCCAGCCTCCCTGAGACCTCCTCTGTCTGGCTGCTCTAGCGCCCCGGGGAGATGAAGTCTCACTCGTGAGGTTGGGAGTGTCTTTTTTTGGCAGGCAGAGGCCACTGCAAATTGGAAGGTGAATCATGTCACTGGTTTGTGCCAAGCCCCCACTCGAGAGCCAGCATAGAAACTGGGAGCCAGGTGCCAAATGTCCTGGCGTGCGGCTCACAGCCTTGCAAGAGAGCCAGAGCTGCCCACTGGCTCTTGCGGACAAAGCCAGCACGTAAGATGCTGCCTCTCCTTCATCCCGCAATGTCACATGACAGCAGGTAGCTGGGGGGAGGCGGGGGAATAAAGCCATACT